TCCCCAGATTCCGCCCCCCCGTTTTTGAAGTTTTTATGTTTTTTTTTTGCGAGGGGGTAGGGGAGCCCCCCCCGACTCGAAACCTGCTTCCCTCTCCCAAACCCCCCTCCCCGATCGGCCACGGCAGCGGCCGAAAGAACTCGGCCGGACCGGCCGCGGCCGGGGGGGTCCCGGCCTAGGCCGCCGGCCGCGGCCTGGGCCGAACCCGGCCGCGGCCAGCGTGCAACATAGGGTGGGACAGAGTGTGGGAGCAACTAGGAACGAAGGCCCAGTGGCCCTGGGAGTGGAGAGCTTTGCTGTGCGAAGCCTGGCCCAAGGGCCACATTGACCAGCTTGACGAATTCACCGGTAACATGTTCAGGTTGGGACGAAGGGTGGTGCTCTGGGCACTCTGGAGACGACGCTGCACTTTTGAGATGGAGGGGGCGAGGTTAGAAGGACCAGAATTCACAGAAAGTGTACAACAACAGATCCAAACAGAAATATCTGCAAAATGGGAGGGAGTCAAAGCACAGATCAGATTCCTGGGAAGGCTAAAGGACATCAAACAAAAAATTCAGGAATTCAGCTCAAACTGCCTTGGGGGAGCAAACGGAGGGAGGATAGGAATGGTGGAATGGAACAGAGAACACAAAGAATCAGGGGAGGGCCAAGGAAGAACTAAGATAGTAAGAGATTACCGATTGATGTTCCACGAATGGACCAAAGTGGATGCAGCAATCCCATTGAAACCTCCAGATGAATTCCCGGACTTCCTCCCCCATCAAATTGTCTAGTAGAAATGCAGTGGTACGGAATGGATGGATAATCTCAAGAGAGAAAAAGGAGGGTTTAGGCAGGGGGCTAGGTTTAAGGTTTCATCCCTACTCACAAAGCCCCCACCCATGACATAGGAAGCTCAGCACTAGTTTGGCAGGTGAGATCTGGCACCACAAGGAATGGTGAAGAGGTCCGGGAGCTGACAAAGGTGGGAATTCTGTCTTGGAGGAAGAATAGTCAGGGTGGTAGTTTTTTCCCCCAGATACTGTTTTATTCCTGATGTTCCTGAATTTTCCTGAATGATTCTGTAAAAGGGACGCTGGACCCGTTTTCCAGCAGGTGATGCTCCCCACCAATAGATGAAGCCTCACCCAAGGTGCTAGCGGTGTCTGCTCCTACCAGCACCACTAGCACTGATGGGACTCATGGGAGTGTTTTCAAAAAAAAAAAAAAAAAAAAAAGGACCCACTTTCCAGCAGATGCATGATTCACACTGTATGAACAGGGATGCTGGATCCGATTTCCAGCAGGTTCAGCTCCCAACCAATAGATGGAGGCTTCAACACCAGGAACCACCTCGTTAAGTCCCACGGAAGTGGAGTTTCAAAAGGGAAAAAAAAGAAAAAGACTGGTTGGGCGGGGGGAACAGGGGGCTGGGTTGCAGAGATAGAGTAGAATGGGGAACGGGAGGGAGATCAGGGTAAGAAGACTACCACCCCTTCTCTTTCATGAATGGACAAAGATCAAAGCCTCAATCCTTCTGTGGCCTCTTTCAGACTTCCCGGATCTTTTTCCCCACCCGCTCTCTCCCTGGTGGACCAACACTGGTATGGTGGGTAATAGGGGAATCGCCAGCGAGCTGAGTAGTACACACAGGAGGCTGAAAGGGAAACCTCAGAAAGTCCTGGGTTGGCCAAAAAGCTGCTTTGCATCATTATTGCTGCTACAATGCTGTTGCAGATAGCACAACACTGCGTTCAGATGGGATCAATGGTGGCTAGGCAGGCAGAGTTGTCAGGCGCCAAGCAGCAGGGCTGAAGAGGCTGCCCTTCCCTCAAACTCTGGTTTTTATCTCACAATCTGTTCACTATCAGCTCAATATTTGCTAAGTCAATCCCCTGATCTTCAGGGTAATCAATGCTGGCAGAAAAAAAGCGTTCTCAGATTATCATCTGTGTATAATGGGACGCTGGACCCGTTTTCCAGCAGGTGTGGCTCTCCACCAACAGATCGGAGCAACCAGAAAACGTGCTAGGGGGCAATGCTCATAACACCCCTCCTAGCAGGAGGACTGGCTTAAAAAAAAAAAAACACATACACAGTCTGTCTGGGGAACAAAAATATTGCCGGCCGATCCGAGCTGTTGCCTCTGTAACGTCCCACTCGCAGACCCAATGATATTGTTCTTGATACAGAAAAGTTGGTGGGCTGTCGTTGGACGAAGGGGAGCAACGGGATGATAGTGAATCAAAGGTGGCGAACTGCCATGAAAAGTGCATAATCACAAGTGCAAAAAAGGATGAAACGTGAAAAAGAGAATGTCATTCCATGTTGTTGGCTCTTCTCATAGAAGATACTACCATGTAGGCGTTCAGGCATTGCTCTGTAGAAGAGCTGCAGAAGTTGGGAGTCGATGATTTCATGACTGGGCATCCGTGTTATTTTTGAGTGCATGCACATTCCTCCACTGAATCGTTTGGATTGTTTGAAGCTTGTCTGAGACTTCACAGCACGTGTGGCATCAGCAAAGCGTTCACGGAGGAGCTCTAGAAACTTGGATAGATAGGTCAGGGAGGAATAGGTGACCATGTCACCTGGGTAGTTGGCCGCTTTGGCCAAGGATATGGCAAATGTGGTTGCCTCGTCTCCAAGGCCGTGAAAGGGAATCAGAGTCTGTTCAGTTGGGCTGATCTTCTGGAGGTGAACATAAGTCTTAATGCGATCTTCCAAATTCTCAAAGCGCTCCTCCTTTCTACCACAGTAGCAATCAGAGAATCTAGCCTTGATCCTCTCTTTCCTAAGCTCATCTCCACCACTAACCATCCTAGCCCCTTCTATGGTGGCGCTGCAGACTCTCTCAGTCTGATTAGTGGCAGAGTGCATTTCCTCCTCCATCAATAAAACACTTTGAAATTCATGTGCAAAGTCTTTCATTCACAGGTGCAAGGATTCTATAACGTTCTCTAGGTTATGAATCACGGAACTCAATTGCCTCACACCCTCAATCGGTATGGCTTGCCCTCGTGCCAGGGTCTTAACTACAGGGATTAGTGACTTAGGGTCATCAGTTATATCGGCCTCTAATACGACTTATTGTTCCCTCAGCCCTGACAACTTCTCCTCCAGGAGCTTCCCCTCCTCCCTTTGCATCATCTTTTGTTTGTTCCTTCTCATCTTCAACCTCAACATTCTTTCCTCTTGCAGCAATCTCTGCTGCTCCACGTCCCCTTTTGTCTCTTGCATATTCTTATCAAACTCACGTCGCTCCTCCTGTGTCTCCAGTGTCTGTGCCTCATGCTCTTCTCCAAAAGAGAATAGCCTTGCCCAGTTCTCAGCCCCCTTCACTCCCTCTTCTCGACTAATCTGATCCGATTCATTGCTTTCTCCGACGTCAGTAGTGACTACCGCTTCCATCACTTCCTTCTTCTTCCCTTGCCAATGCATCTCCTTACTGGCTTCCTCCTCCAATCTTATCTCCTCCTCCTTCAGTCTTCTTTCCTCCTCCCTCAATTGCCTCATAGCCTCCTCCTTCTCCTTCACCCTTTTTCTTTCGGTCAAGATCGCATCCAGCCTGGCTTGCTCAGCCTTGCTGTGCTAAGCTAACAGCGTGAGTTTTTTTTCCAGATTTCAGGGTCACGCACGACCTAACGGTACGAAGGAAACCCAGAGGGAAGAATAACATCAGAAGAGGTCTCCATAGGATGGATAGAGCCAGACATGTGAACATGGGGTAGTCATCCATGGTGCTAGAAGTACAGTCAAGCCTCCACCTCCTCACCACTTAGACTTAAGACCCCTCAACACTTGCTCTCACGTAGCCTACACCTAGGTCACCCCAAGGGTCACCAAACTAGTCCACCACAGCAGTCGCTCACAACTTAAGGTGTGCCATCCACAGATGACTCTACTGACTGCAGCAACAACTCAAGGAGTGATCAAACAGGCAAACTGTGCGATCATGCTTAGGGTCGGAACGATCTCACCGGCTTGCTGAGATCAACCTTCAGCCGCTTGGTCAAAGTCAATGCCACTGGTCAATGCCACTTGGTCAATACTGCTACCGTCTTCAACCGAATAGAACGCCCGGTCATTATAGCTGTATGTGATGCAACTTTCAGTCCAGATACGGCCATAATTACCGGGCGTTCTATTCGGGTGAAGACGGTAGTCAACACTGCTGATCAACACTACTGGTCAACGATGCCGGCCAACTCCATTTCCAACTCCCTCTTCTTCTTTTTCCTCGTTACGATGGAGCCTCTCCCCAGGCGCTAGTGGTGTCTGCTCTTATCAGAGCACCATTAACACTGGCGGTTTTTTTTTGTATTAAAAAAAAAAAAAAAAAAAAAAAAAAATACTTTTCCCCTTTCCCTTTTTTTTTTTTTTTTTTTTTTTTTTCCTTTTTTTTTTTTTTTTTTCCCCCCTTTAATCCTCAGCCCGCCGGCCTTTATCTTCCTACCTTCCTTTACCACCAGTGACCAGTCCAGTCAACTATGGCGGCAGCCTCCTTCCGCACGGTGAGCTCCAGCTATGGCGGCAACATCTTCTTCCTCACGGTGAGCTTCAGCTATGGCGAGACGGCGGACTCCGGGCTCCGGGTAGAATAACGATAACCGGCTCTGATACCAGTGAAATGGTCTCTGGTGTCTTCTTTGCTTGTTCGCAACATCACATGTAAACCAAGTGAGAGAGTAAAACCAAAAGCAACTGCACTCAAATACTTATTATCAAGAACTTATTTACATTTATGGGGCCACAACATTCATTCCACTTTTCCAGGTGGAAGAAACGCTTTGCAAACGCGTGGTGAGGCATCGGCGCTGGACCGCGACGCGTCATGGGTTGACGTGCACAAGCGGCCCGACCTTCGGCAGGAAGGTCCCACGCGAGACTCCATAGCCGCTGAGTTTTGGTGACCACGTGGCAACTGCGGCTGCTATCGGTGGGGTCGGAGTGGAGACAGCCCTTGCGGAGACCGAAGTGCGCGAAGAACAGCAAAGGACGGCGAGCAGGAGCGACGGTGCACGGGACGACTACATCATGGAAAGGGGAAAGTAAGTATCGAGACATAGACACCAACAAGAGCAGACCATAACATAGGAGTGGAGTAGGGGAAAGGGAGAGCGTCGGTGTCGGGGACAAAGTGGGGGGGACGAGAGCTAAACAAATGATAGAGGACGGAAACCCGACAAAGGTGAGCGGGCGACGCGAAGAACAGCAAAGGACGACGAGCAGGAGCGACGCGACGACTACATCATGGAAAGGGGAAAGTATGTATCGAGACATAGACACTAACAAGAGCAGACCATAACACAGGATTGGAGTAGGGGGAAAGGGAGAGCGTCAGTGTCGGGGACATAGTGGGGGGGACGAGAGCTCAACAAACGATAGAAGACGGAAACTCGA